TCAGTCCTTTTATCACCATAGGCGAATTAGGATGAATGCATCTCATACTTATTTTCTGTTTACCAGTAGACTTTAAAAACAACAATAGATTTGGTATAATATTTATATTCGCCCTACTTAAAGTGATGAAGAATCGGTAATTGAGTTGTCAAACCTACTTATGAATGGAAACTAAATAGTGAATAACGCGCCGAGAATGTAGGTTGCACTAACTGGGTTTGTTTCCCACTGGGGGTACTGATGAGATCAAGGCAAGAAAGACTATGTGAAATTAAGTGGAAAAATGAGGTGTGAAAATTCAAATACGACTCCTTCATCAGCTTGAACATGATAAAGTGAACACAGCTTTTATATTCGGTCTACTGATAATCTATAAAACCTAGTTATTACGTTTAACTAATTATACTACTATTTCTTGTAAAAGTAGTATTATCCGTATTTTTCTATAGCGCTGAAATTGTCAACTCTGTCCAAATGTATGTCTTTCGACTCGACAGAGCAACGCATTTAAAGACATGTGCTTAGGCGAACATGCAGAGCAAAGGCCTATATCCTCTTCGATAGGCAGCGAGGAAACTTCAGCCCCGTTGAGTATGACTTCACTGCATCTCGGCTGAGATGGATTCTGAGGCCACGAGACCGACGGATAAGTCTGGAAAAAGTCGGTTTGTCGTTCCACTTGTCGGTGTCGGAGCTCAGGAGACAGGCCAGTGGACGTCGATACATGCACACATACATGGACAGACATATTGTTTTTCCGTATTTGAAAGAATGAAAGGAAGAAAGGAAGAAAAGAAGAAATAAAGAAATAAATGAAGAAAGGAATAGAGGGAGAGAGGGAGAGAGGGAGAGCTCTATGGGAAATGAGGCAGAGGTGTTGAAACGAGCATGGGAGAGGAGAGGCGAGGCGATGGGCTGTAGAAGTGAGCATGGATTTGCAGCGTGTGCCTGCTTATCGAGGTGTTACATACGCCAAAGCCAAAAGAATTAGGTAAATTAAACAGGTCAGGTTAACTCTGCCCAGTCAAGTGGTCAAGCCCACATTCATCACTCTCGCATGGCCAACAATCTCGTCCAGCCGGCTCACTCACTCAGCCACACACTCGCATCCCGGCCCGAGAGGTACGCGGTTGCACAATTGATTCGAGGCTGATACTCTCACGAAGTGGGCTTCTCGTGAGTCTGTCGGTTAACGCCACCCAACGACTCACATGTAGGTCCAGACATGGGACCCCCTCGGGGGAGGATTGAGGCGACGCCGTCGCGATGACGACCCACTCGGACAGTTTCCCACGACGTGTACTACTGGAACGACCAGCCCCACCACCGTCGTCACCAACACTGGTCCTGCAGCCGCGGCGGACAGGATGGTTGTGCTTGTGGTGGAGGCAGGTGCCCGCACTTTGACTTCACTTCCACATTATCACTTCTCTCACGTCTTGTTTTTTCCACTCTCCCCTTCAACCGCCTAACACCACTCCACACATGCACTGACGACCACCTCAGCTAGACCCGGAGACGACGGACTGTATGCACGTCCGGACCGATGGTGAATGGCTTAGTGCCTCTTGCGTCGGTGCGTTTGAATGTGTCGCAGACCCTCGTAGGCTGCGGGCTCAGTCTGCCTGAGCGGTTGTACCGGCTCTTAGCGAGTCTATGACCACCGGGGCGTGAACACAACTCGTCTTGCTGTAGACCGCCGGGGCTTCTGCACAACCTTGGCTCAATCCGACAAATACATTTCTCTTATTGTCTGTCCACAATA